AAAAAAATAGTATTTGAAACCACCCCACAACTACCCCTACCACCCCCACCTCCATCACCACCGCCACCACCACCGCCGTCGTCGTCGCTGCCGTCGCCACTACCACCACCACCACCCCCACCCGTTGTCGCTGCCACCACCACTGCCACCATGGTCATTGCTACCCACCACAATCATCATCGTCTCTTACCATCACCACTGTAGCCCACTAGCTCACATCCCAACTACAATCGATACTTAAATTCATTTATCTCTCTTCTATACATGTGATTTGATTTTATATATGACTATATATTTATTTTTTATGTCTAATATATATATATTGGATAACACAAATTAACCAAGGGGACCCGTAAACGACAAAAATTGGCAAATGAAAAGTAAGAACATCGATAATATGCAAGACTCAAGAAAGAAAAAAAGTATTGAGATCAAAATCACAAAGTCACAAATAAACTAAAGATAAACCACTGAAATTGACAAATGAAGCCCAAAAAGAAAACCCCAACGCTAGTCTCAATACAGAAACTTATAGCCCAATATACCGAAAACAAAGAACAATACCAAATTTATATTAAGTGTCACAAAATGTATGCTAAAGATATTGACGAATCTTAGCACCTGGATTATGTTTCAAACAATAGATATAGATTCAAATAAATAAATTTTTAAGTTCGTTTAAAAAAATAAGCGCGACAGGCTGAGCTTGAACTCTACAGACTCAGCTTGAACTCTACATACTCGATTTATTTATGTGTAAATACTTGAGCTCGACTTGAATTCGGCTCGTTTTAGGCTTATTTAGGTCATGAGCTTAAATTGAACAATTTTTTAAATTTGTTTAACAAACAAACTCAACAAACTCGGTTCAAGCTAGTTCAATTATCAGCTCTACTATCACACACACACATACATCTTCCATATGTTTTTTTTTTTTTTTACCGAAAATGATCATTTCCTCACCTTGTCCATTTTAGGTATTATTAGTTTTCAACAGAAACATGTCATGCACGGGCATATGCACATTTACCTAGAATGTTTTGTTATCTTACCTTGATTCCTATACTTTTTCTTCGTATACTGTGACTTCTTGATCCATATTACTTTTTATGAAATGTGGTGTTAATGAACTTTCAATGTAAAAGTTCATTTACCAAATAAGCTTTCACTTGAAAAATTCAAAAAAGTCTCTACAAAATATACTTTTACATTAAAAAGTGCAGATTAAAACTACGTTTTTATATAAACTATGATAGATTAAGAAATAAATTTGAATCCATCCTATTTAGTGTTTGAAAAAAACAATGCCAAAGAAATTGATTCCACATACGTTCATACACTGTTATTACAACGCCATAGAGTCAGGGCCGGCTCACATGTGAAGCCACTTAGGCAGTTGCTTAGGGCCTCATTTGGTATGGAGCCCCATTTTTTAAATAAGTACTTAAGTAGTTATAAATGTTTCAATATTTTCTTTTTTATTTTGCTTTGTTTGAGTCTAATCTTTTTATCTTTTTATTTAGTTACAGAGTAGAAAGTCTCATCTTTTAAAATATCTAAAGTAACTCACATTTTAGATACTATTTTATATATTTCTTATTTCACAAATTAAGCAATTTATCCAATTTGTCAACTTATTAGAAACCTTAATTAATTCAATTAATCTCTTCATCATGAATTATATGTTCGCATATTTGATATTAACTTTCAAAAGTATCCCCAAGTCAAAAATAAAATAAAATACAAATCAATCAATCAATCACATCTTCTTGATTGTCTCTCCTTTAATATATCTCTCATTTTTTGTACCCTTCAAAGATTAATTTTTTGAACTCATATCGTTTTGGGGGTCACGTTATTATTTCTTTGTGATACTTAGGATCAACCCTAACAGTTTAGCATCGTTCTCAACTCCTCTAAAGATCGTAACTAACCTCCCTAAAAGTTATAATTTGACCCTAAGAGTATTTTTTTAGTATTGATCTTAACTTTTTGGTTACAATTTGACCTAGTAAAATTGTAATCTAACGTATAAAAGTTTTTATTTTTTGTAGATACCATTTTTGATAACATACACTCACCCATTAGCAATACTCAAATAAAAAAGCTGAATTAGTAATTTTATATCTCGAAAAAAATAAACTCTAATTACATTACTAGTATACTAATATTAAATTTTCAAAAGGCCCCATCAAAATTTTCACTTAGGCCCCTATTTTTATTGTGCCGGCCCTGCCTGGAGTGTGTGTACGCCTCACTTAGAAGGAGATTGTTTCTTTTCAACCATAAACCATGAGTTCATACTTAGTGTTGGGAATAATGGTTTTTAAATAAATATTTTTTAGCAACTTAAGGTTTAAATTAAAGTCAGATTCATAACTTAAAATTAGTGAGATTAAGTTTAAATGCGCTCTCCTTTGTGAGAAGATGAACGCAATATTTTTATTTGTTTAAAACAATTAAGTATATTGAATGAGAAATTGTAGAAGTATTTTCAAAATAATTTTTTGGGTGATTATTTTAAAAAAAAAATTTTGTGACTTTTTAGAGAAATTGGGAAGATGTGAAGTAAAGATGATATGAAAGATTACTAGTTCAAAATTAATGACTTTTGGTTAAAGAAACAAATCCAAATGATTACATCCTTTCTTAAAGCCACAATTAACATCTTTTGATTAAAAAACATCATTACAAATAATCACAACTTTTCATAAAAGTCACATTTCTTATCTTTTGGTTAAAAGACACAATTTCAAATAGTTACACATTTTCATAAAGTTATCATTAATACCCTTTGAACCAAAAGACACTATTACATATAATTGCACCCTTTATAAAAAATCACTAGTGAGTTTATAAATAGGTGATGTTTTGCACTACTAAATTATACCATTAAACAATTATTACTTTTTACTAGAATTGGTCTCTCATTTTACTTCTATCAAGTATCCTAAATTCTATATTTAATATTTCGTCTCTCTCTCTCTTTGTGTGTGTGTGTGTGTACATATTGTTGCATTATTCTCTAATTGATTCAAGTGTAAAACACAAAATTGTGTTCGTTAGAATCTTGAAAATTGAAATATTGCATCTTCAAGAACGAAATTCGTTCTATCTTAAGAGATAATTACTTATCAAATTTAAGTACCAAGAGGTAGCAAATATATTTTAAAAACACTATAATTACACAGGACTCGGATTATTATTATTATTTCTAAATTTTTGGATTTGTATTATTTTTTCAATTCTGCATCACTTTAAGTATATTTCAGTTTCTATTTTTAATTAAACTGTTTACATATAACAGCATATTTAGTATATTTAAATTTTATTACAATAATTAGTTCCTTAATTTGATTATATATATCATGGATAACATTTAGGTCGCCATCCCTGATGCACCCTTTGAGGCAAAATAACATAAAAGATCAACACTATCATCTTTCACATTGTAGGGTATATGCTATTTATTTTTTAGCAAGAACACATGAACACAATTCATACTTTACAGTCACATCCGTATACACTACAAAAAGAGAGAATATCCGATATAGTAGTGAAATATCTAGAGATCAAAAAGAACACCAACGATAAAAATACTTTGCTAAGCCCAAACTAACATTGAGAAAGGAAAATTAGGGGAGCAAATGGAATTAAATACCCTATTAATCCTAGCTACAAAAGTCAACTTAATAACCTTGAATGAGTTTGAACCTAAAAACAGACATTTTACTAAATAATGCCAAAGATTAAATGGTGCCTGATTTGGATATCATTTATATGTGGCCTGATTTACGCCAATGGGGCTGAGGTACATGGAAATGATGCAGATATTATTTAGAATTCCTCCTGCACTTTGCCACTCCTGACTACAATATTTATAATCCCACCACCTGCTTGTTGCCATTGTACTTTTTACCCTTTAGTATTTTATGTTGATTTTCTCTTTGATTTATGCATTATTTCTCTTTTGTCCGCATCCTTCCAATTTTGGTGTTTTACTCCAAGAAGTTTTCAATTTTTGCCTAAATGGTAATATTCAAAGTAATAACCACTTAAATTGACTAGCAAAAATAACCACTCGTGTCTCACAAAAGGCATGAGGTGTTGCTCAAGGGTGTGATGGTATCGTTTCGTGGAATAGCGAGGTTATGCTAATATATGCAAGGGCGGAGCTACTTGAGGACCGGGGGCAAGTGCCAACCCTCAATTTTTTTTTTTAAATATTACTTATGTATATTTTAAATAATTTTAAATATATTTAAATGTGCTCACTCTATCATTTTTTGTTCTATCAATTAATATAATCTCTGTACTTAAATAATTACAAATTTTTTGACATACTTTGAACGCTTTAGAAATACATCTATGTAAATTTTTAACACGTCAAACTCATTTTTTTTAAGCTATAAAGATTTCGATTAAAAAAAAGAGCTATAGAGATTATGACTACTAGTTTACTTAATTAAATGAGTGATCAATGACTAACAATTTGATCATATATATGAAAAAATATTATAATATCTTTTATACAGTTTACTTCATATGTTATGAAGGGGTCTAATTAACCTCTTTTTTGTTTGTTTTTATTTATATATGCTATATTTATCAAAGTTTCACCTTTTTTATATTTTATAGATTTTTAAGTATCGAATACAATATAATAAATTTGAATATATTATTTTATTTTTACAGATTAGAAGAAAAAAAAATTAAAATTTTTTAATAAAGTGCCCACCACCCTAGACATAATTTCTGGCTCCGCCCCTAAATATATAGACACAATCATCTAAAAAAGTCACATGTATTATGCTTTATTTGTTTTTTATAGTAAGATAATAGGCCATGCCTTTATAAGATTACAAATATGACAATGTAACAGAGCTCAAAGCAAGAAGATGAATATTAATGGTAGTGGCGAATATAAAACCCATGGTTCAATTTTTTCAAGTTCGATAGCTTCCGCTATCATATAAGCAATGCGGAAAGCATTTACTACCTCAGAGGACCGCTACCATTTCCCTTTTAGAAATGTCATTTAGCTGGGTTGCTAGGGACACCTTTTCCTGCCCAACGGAGGTGGCCTCCTGCTGCTTCTCTGGAACACCATCTGCTTTCTCTAGATTCATTTGCACTTCAAATTCTTGAGGATATGACCTTCCACTCCCGCGGATGAGATCTTTGATTGTTGTTTTGAGTCCTTTATCCTTCAGCAAGGACTCCAATGTCACATGTGAACCTGCGAACAAGTTGAGGAAAGTAGCACATCAAAAGGAATTAAATGAAGGAGTCAGGTCAAAATACCTTGTGCGCAACCATGCAAGACCTACCTACATGTTTTTATGTTCTTTTACTTTTCAATTGCACTGATGGACTCGTAAGTTACATAAAGTTTTGGATATTAACTCACTGAACGATCTTATATGTTACAGAAAAATAGTTTTTAGATATTCCACTGTTCTGATTACCATGACTAATGAATGGCCGCATGCATTATTTCAGCTCTACCAAGTTAAAACTAAAACAGAACTAAGAAAATAATAAGATAGTAAAAAGGGCATGCTATTCTTATGGAAATATATTTGCCCAGGTTGTACTTATGTAGCATTTGAAAGCACAGGGAAAGTAGTCTACATGAAAGATGCCTCCACACAGATACATGCACAGGGCTGGTAGAGAGAGAGAAAAGAGAGAGAGAGAGAGACCATAGGTGATGACTTTTCTCACAATCCTTATATTGCCCTCAGAAAATATAAGAAGAGGATCATTCATAATGTCATAGTTTAAATCAAGAGTAGACAACGAAAAAGCAATGAATTCCCTCATGATCACTATACTGGCCCCATATGAATTAAAGCATCATTTTAGTAAAAGTGTAGAACACTGGGCTTGCTAATATCATTGAAGGTCCAAGACACTTTAACGGGCATTCAGATGTCTAAAAATGGAAATTTCCATCAAGTCGTAGTGTTTCATGCAGCAATTAACAAAACTGCATGATGCTTTGAAGAATAAAGTCAGGCCTAATAATTTACAAAAAATTATTTTAAATGAATATATTTTAGGATTATTTTTACTTACACAAGGAAAATAAGTTCTCATCTCTGTTTTCTCTCTGTGGAGTACATAATGCACACAATCATGCCCAAACGAAAGGTATCATTCACAGAATATGTAAAAAGAGAAGGGGAAAAACACCAAAAATAACAAGAGTAAATATAATGCTTTGCCTACTATAAGCTATGAAGAGTGTGTAAACATGAAAAAACCTAATCGATGAATTAATAGTCTTAGATACACACATGTGCATACACACACACATAGATACACATGCACATTCATAAGGGACATTGCTTGATGAGATGGTAAAAAATCCAATATTTGAGAGGGTGCCATGCAGAAAAGCCGTGGTAGAATCTTAGGACTATTGGAGACTGGAACCTAGAGGTGCAGTTTATAATTAAAAAGATGATTTGTCACCCGACACCTGTCTATCATCTTTGTGATTAGATAAGGAACTTGATCTTCCCTCAAGTTGATATGCTCATGAATACACTATGAGGCTATTGCTGCTTGTGGAAAGATGGAGGATTCAATTTCTAAATGAGTGGGATATCCTATTTCAGATCTTCCAAAACATTGACAGTAGAAGTGATGAGTTCTTTCACCAAGCTAGAAAGATCAGTCAGTGGTGTATAGAAGGCTAATACTGATGGCTCCGATGGAAGTGAAAGAGTTAGGAGGGGTCAGTGGAAGCCACGGGAGGAAGCTGTCATGTGTCTTGGCTTATGCAAGAGATCCAAACTCAATTCTATGACACGAATGGGAAGCTACTATTGTCAGAATGGTTTCTGAGGAATATTGCAGAATGGTCATTGGGCCAGATTCTTCAAAAAATGCAAAAGGTCTCTAGCACAAGAAATAGCAGTACTGCAAGGAAAAGGATGACCTTAACGGCGCTTGTAAGTTCCAACTTTTCTATTTTCATTGTGTCATTTTGGGCCTCGGATTCTAAGGATTTCAAAGGGATTCCACCATTTGCTAATAGGCGGGATGGAGAGCTTCATGTGATTCGTAGCTTTTATGTATTTTCCCTTTTTGGTTCTTCTCTTTTTCTTGGTTGGATTTCTTATCCAACCTTTTTGATGTACTTACCAAATCTCATTAATAAATAAGTTATGTTTTCTATTGAATAACAAAGTTCCAATTTTCTCATTTTCTACTTTTTCAATTATTGGTATTCTCTTCATGGTAGTGAAATACTACGCCTGTTTCTCAGTGCGCAGCTACAGATGAAATAAAAGGTAGGTCTCTTTTAACATAAGTGAGTTCTCGCCAATATAGAAGAATACACAGATGATCATTCCACCCCTCGGCATCCTGGACCAATTAGTAGGGCACTTGTAATTGCCTTTTCAGATGTGGTTCAAATAATTTTAAAATAAATAAAAAACCATCATTTATTTTGGGGCCTTTGTTATGTTTTTTACACGTCTTCTTTTTGGTAATAAAGTTTGAATGGAATATTAGATCAGTCCTAATAATCTAATCTAGGAGCTTATTTTATTGAGTCCAAAGGCTACAATAACGGCTTAATATGTAGGAAACAAAAAATGTGAAAACTATTGAAGAATTGTCAGGCTGATTAAATTGATCCTCAGGTTACACATTTCTCACTTAATATGGTTTACTATATGCACATTATTATACCTATCCAGTAGGTGCTTATCAAACCCATCTATGAGTGAATAGAAAACACGAGAGTTTTTGCATTAGTTTGATTTCATACTGCCGAGAGTTTCGCTAAGATCATTCAAAACTCAATCAAAAGGGAAGACTTAACAGAGCTCCCAGTAAGCTATGAAGAGAATTATTCTTGTTCGTTTTAAGTCCCCATGAGAGAGAAGGGTTGCAGGTGATGGCACGTTCTGCTGCTTATCTACCAGAGGGGCATTGAAATCCTTTCTGTTGGGTCGTGTGGCAGCTGTTGCGACCCATAAGGGGGGCTTGTCTTCCATTCGCAGCAAGGTAGTTGTAGGGAGAGCCTAAGGGCTGGATTGAATCCTTATTTTCTTCCGATATGCCACTCCTCCAGCAAGGAGCGAGAGAAACAAGTATGTTCGCCCCTTTCTATAACTATCAAATAGTATATTACTATATTTTTCTACGAAAGGTGTTGGATGAAGTTTTTATTTCCCCAGTAATGAAAATTGAGGGACTTCAGCAGAAAAATCAGACTCGGTTTTTCTATCCCAGAGGCACTGTGATCAGACTTGTTGCATTGATCTTCGTAAGGGTATGAACTTGTAAACCCCAATATTTTATTTTCACTATATAGTGTTTTATAATGATTATAATGTGTTTATAAAGTAAAATTTAAGTTTAATTTGTAAAGAAGGATCAATTGTAAAACTTGATTTCTGTCAAAATTAAATTTTGGGTTGGATTGAGGTTTCGAATGAGTTTAAACTCAAGAATGGTGATTATGGGCTTTATCGAAGCGCGATTCATACTGTAGATTACAAGTGAATATTTTTTCTTACATCTTCAAATTTTCAAGCAAGACAAAAACTACAAGTCACAACCAAAGAAGGCTAAGGATTTTCGAAACATTATAACATAAGCATTTCAAAAATTATAAAGGACCCAAGTTCCAACTTTTCAAATCAAATTGAAGCAAACAATTTGGGAAAAATTACCAAATTTTGGTAAAATTGGAGCAGTTGAGTTAAAGCAGTTAGTTCAAGCAGAAAATTGAATCAAATTTAGAGAAAACTGAAGCAGGTTGTTCAAACGGTCACATCGCTTTGATAAAATTACTAACAAAAATTATGGAAGAAACAAACAAGCAGATTAGTTGTAAACAATATAACTTGAAAATAGAAGAAGAGGTAGATACCACTCATTCATTTTAAACCATAATGCTATATGATAGAACAAACAAAAAGAGAAGAAAATAGATTCTGAAAAAACAAAGTAATAAGTTCGAGAAGAAAATGACCCCCCCAAAAAAAAGAAGATGAACCTAGTTGCTTGCAACAGTAGAATTAGAAGAAGAATAAAAATAAAAGAAGACGAAGAAGAAGAATAAAAACTTAAAACCTGGAGTGAAGAGGCAATGCAGTGAGTTGAAGAAACAAAATGGTTAGGGTTAGGTTTAAGCATTTATATATCAAGAGCTAAAATCAAGTGTGGTAGCACATTAAAGAAGCCATCTAATCCACAGATCTGTGGAATAAAATAGATTGCAAAAAGAACAAAAAAAGAAAAAGCGCTTGCTTTTTCCGCCCTGCTGTTAAGCCTCAGTTGTATGCTTTTTGTGCTTTAGCGGCTCTTTGGAGAAGGCGCCTGAACTGGGACCTCCTAAGGTGCTAATGGTGGACCTTGAACCTAGGAATGTGCCTAGGTATGCTTTTTACAATACTGATCTGGTCAACTGTATGAACTTTCTGGACAAAGAAATGGCTTGGGCAGAATATATGACTGGTCAACCACTCACTAGAGCCAGTCAAATTGTGAAGGACCGGCCGACCAGTTGTCTCAATCGGTCAGATGGTTAATGCAACTTGTTAAGTTTAGAGAATTAAAACAATATTAGAGAAATGGAGAGTAGTCAAAACTTCACCTACCTCTCACAAACCACTTGTATTTATAGTTAACCTATAATCATTCAAAAGACGTGTATACCCTCTATGTGGTATATTTATTACAACTAGTATTTTCATAATAATACTCTAATACTCTTAACACTCCCCCTCAAGCTGAAATATATATGTCATATAATCTAAACTTAGAAGAACAAATGGTTGTAAGACGCGTACGATTCAATGATTTGGTAAACATATTTGCAAGTTGATCCTCAGATCTCACAAATAGAGTTTTAACATTTCTAGCTATTATCTTGTCTCAAATAAAGGGACAATCAACTTCAATATATTTGGTTCTCTCGTGAAATCTTAGATTGATAGCGATATGGATAGATGACTGATTATCACAGAGTAACTGTAAAGGAGGTTGAACTGGAAAGCCAATTTCCTGGAGAAAGTGCAGTAGTCACGTCAACTCACTAGTTGTATGTGTCATTGTTCTATACTCAACCTCGGCACTGGATCTTGCTACTACTGTTTGTTTCTTACTCTTCCATGAAACAACGTTGCCTCCCAAGAAAGTACAATAATCAGTGATTAATCTCCTATCAAAAGGAGAGCCAACCCAATCAACATTTAAAAAACCCTTCATTCTAAGATATCTCTAAGATATTCATTAGTTTGATATAACAACCCAAGACCAGAAGCACATTTGAGGTATCAAAGAACACAAGTAACTACCTCCCAATGTGGTACTTTAGGGCATTCCATAAAATGAGTTACTACACTAACTGCATAGAAAATATCCGGTCAGGTAATAATGAGATAATTAAATTTTCCAACCAACCTACGATACCGACCAAGATTTTTAAACGGTGCACAATCATCCATCAACAATTTCTGATTTGAATCCATAGGAACATCAAGTGATCAGCCACCCAACAACCCTGCTTTTTTTAGCATGTCAAGTACATATTTCCTCTGAGATAAACAAATACCCTGTTTAGATCTAGCAACCTTAATACCTAAGAAATACCTGAGTTTTCCTAGGTCTTTAGTGTGAAATCGATCTTGTAAGAAAATTTTTAATTTTGCAATCCCCTCAGAATTATTTTTAGCAATTATAATATCATCTACATAAATCACCAACAGAATATATTCGACATCCGTCTGTCTATGAAAGACAGAGTGGTCTGTCTAACATCGAAGAAGACCAAACTCTAAAACTGTATCTGAAAA